ATCAGACACTGTGTTAACCATTTGCTTTGGTAAAGGATTTATCATGAAGTACTCCAAATTCCAACTTCGTTTTTTATAAGTAAATTATTTATAATAAGATTTTGTCAAAATGTAATGTTTATTGCTTATTTTGGTGCCACTTTTATTTTGTACATTTAGGCAATACAGCACCAAAAGGGAGTCTGTATGTATAACTGCCTATATTGAAATTTGGTTGTGTGTGATGTCATCATGAGAAACTTAACTATATATTATTCTTGTACCATATGTTCCCAAGGAGTTTATGGTTTTGTAAATGCCAGCTAGGACAACTACAAGGGAAACAGTGGATTCCAGGAGGAAAGAACTAGCAGGATTTAGAGATGGCTTGGTGAGGGAGAAATAGAGTAGATAATAAAGTTGTTGACATTTAAAGAAGGCAATGAAGAAATAGTTAAGTGGACGATATCAGTTAGTTTGAGTTCATAAAGCGTGCAGATGTCAGACAGTTGCAGATGTAGGATTAAATCTAGAGGGTTTTTTTTTAACTTCCTTATGAGCTTGTGCTGGTGTGTGTGAGAGAGAGAGACTGGTAATACTGATGAGAAATAGTAACCCAAGTTTGAAAGTAAATTTAAAAAACAAACCCAAAATCTTGAAGGATCAGCAAAGAAAGAATGGTGCTAATGTAGAGTGGCTCTGTATTAGTGAGGAAGAAATCATCCAGCCATCCTCCACTGAAGAAGCTGAGACTACTGAGCTACCTTGAAAGCAAGACAAAGCCTTCTGTGGCTTTGACAAAATTTCACAAGAAATGCTATACTTCAAAAGAAGAGTATGCAATGGATGTTATGTCTTATGCCCTATGTCATCTGAGAGAGCAAAATACACAAGATGCAATACAAAGCTAGGGTTTGATATCTATAAGCAAAATCTGGAAAGGATAGTTTCCTTCTGGCTGGCTATTATCCAGTATAATTTCTAAGCTGTGAATGCAAACTGCTGGAGAGGTTAATTCTCCCAAGACTTGTGCCTAGATTAAAGTGGTCTCTGACTGACAACCAGGGTTCAGCCTTTATAGGTGTATTTGTGACCTAGTTCTTGCTCTTACTGTTTATATGGAAAATACCTTGCAACAGATGGAGGAAACAGAGCTGTTTCTTTATTTGATTTGACCAGCAGTATATGACACTTCTTGGCGCACAGGTCTGCTGGCCAGTTGGCCAGATATTACCTTGACACTTCATTACGTCTCTGGAAATGATGCTTCAAGAGAGACAATCCTAAGTAATAGAGAGTTGGATCCAGAGTCTCCAGAATGCTTCTTTTTAACATATTTACTAATAGTCTGCTTCCAGCAGTCTGTATACCATTCAGATAGGGTCTTCAAGATGGTTTTTAAAAAGATTGAAGATGACCTGAAGTAAAATGACAGCCTGATGCAAAAATATATCTGAGATTTGATATTAGCTAACAAAAGGTAGAGAAGATTTGCCTCCTAGATTTACCGGTCTGCACCTTACAGACTAACCAAAGTGTGTGTATGATATCACTCTTTCACTCCCACTCACAGTGTGTGTGTATTACACATTATATATAATCTCACAAGGTTTCATGAGTTAAACTCACTTCATCAGATGCTGTGAAAGGATGTGCAGAAAGCAGAGTATAAAAAGGAGACCAAAATTAGAATACAAAAGACAAGGGGCAGGGGAAGAGGGCAGAGGATGTTGGTGCTTAGTGAGACAAGCAGACTAATGTTAAACTGATAGATTTTTGTGACCACTTTGTTCCTAACCCAGGTAATTAGCTAGTGTAGGGGTGCTCAACCCTAGCCTGCTGGCCAGATCTGGCCCATCACCCCTGTCATCCAGCTTGCATGCTAGATTTGAATGCACAGGGCAGCAGAGGGCCTGATCCTGGCATGCAGAATTGGCCAGGGGCAGGATAGGATCCTGGAGCCTGATTCTGGCACGCATGGCCAAATGGTGGTGCAGGGGCCAATCCTGGCATATGGACCCAATTCTGGTGTGGGATGCAGACTAGCTCATAGACGGGCCTTGTGACACTTATCTCCCCCATGGGGCCAAAAGGTTGAGCATTGCTGAAGTAGTGTCAGGACTTTAGCAAAGCATGCTCCATTTCATTTAAACCAACACTGTACAGGAACTTAACCACATTGCAGAGATTTTCTGGAATAGAAAATGACTATTACATGACCCACATTCAGTACATCTAGGAGTTACTCTAGATTACACACTTAATTACTAAGATCAACTCAGCAATGCTAATGCATAAGAACCTGTGTTGCTAATGGACAACCACTGTGTAAATCAGCAGTAACTCTCTGCTACTCAGTCAGCTCCTTTGTAGAGAATTTACAGATGTAGTCATTTAGTGGTAGTGGAGAGCCAGATTGCAAATTTTCTTTTTGAGCAACCCACAGAGGGCATCTTAGCTCTAGCATTAGTCAAGACAGGGGAAATCTCTATTTACTGTGGTGGTCATCAACTGGATTAGTGTTTGTGTATTTAGTGCAGAAGGTTAAACAGGCCAGTTTTTCTTAAGTTACATTAACATAATGGTTTATAGATATAGAGGCACATTAGATTTAACTTATATGTGTTCAGTGTTTGTAAAGTACCAGTTCATAACAGTACACAATAGCTCCTCTTCCTCACTGTGTATACCATGTATTGAGTATTTAGTGTTTAGCATGATTCAGGAACAGTCTTCTCTGAAAATCGAGCATGAGTCTACATAAGTAAAATTATTCGGAGACTGAGCTTGCACATGATTCTCTTTATGATTTGGTGTAAAATTTAAAATTAAACAGCTCCACCCTTTAAACAGTAAAACCTGTTCACTTTAAATTGCTGTTACTGTTATCACCATGTTTAGAACTTTGTTTTTCTGAAAGAGACTAACTCTCTTTCTCATAGTTTTGAGTACTTTTATATATTTTTCTCCAGAATATCTACATTTGGATGAGGGAGTCAAGAAATTTATGGATAAGGGGGCCAAGTTGATACAGTATACTTGGATTTTTTCAAAAACCTTTTGGTGAAGGTCCCTTATCAAAGGTTGTTGACAGGGGATGGATCATTCTACACATGCTTTATTTGTAATACTCTTCGAAAGCGTCTGCTGCTTACTAATAAAGACAAAACCAGATACTGCAGTAGATGGACCTCTGGTTCCACCCAGTATGACCGTTTTTATTTACTGGTTAATTACAAGGATAGTCACAGTATATACCATGATGTATGAGGAAGCAAGGGAATGCTTTGGGAATATTTATGACATTGGTAGAACACCAGTGCTTAGATGAACGTGTTTGCAGGCCTGCTAAAAGGCTATTTCAAACTGTTCTTAAAACTCACATATATTGGTTTGTTTTCACCAATTTTTTTATTTTATTTTTTTTTAAAGTAAAACAGCAAATATTGCAAGACTCATTATCAAATCATAAGAGTTGCAATACTGTATATGGATAGTACCTCTGTTCTTCTGTCAGATGTATTGAATTTTTCTCTAATAATTGGACAAATATAATTTAGGGCTCATTAGCTATATTAGTTTTTCTGCTTAAATTGTTCTTACTCCTGTTTTGGCCTGTTTGTATATGTAATGAAAGTCTTTGAATAGTAGACAGTCATAGAATTAAAACACTCATTTGACAAAAGAAAAAAAACACTCAGTCTACTCAATGGACTCTACTCTTACTGCATTTTTAGATTAAAGTAATGAGATTAATTCCCTATGATAATCAGTACATTGCTAAGCAAAGGAGAATATTATTTACATTTCAGCTGTCTAACTCTTACTAATGAATGCAAAGAGGTATTTTGCTTTTTATGAACACATAATAGCATTTGAAACTAGCCCTGTCATGCATTATTGCATTTCAATATGGTGCTTTCAGATTTGCTATATTCAACAGAAATTGATATAATAAAAACTGTCTTGTGCCATTTTAACTGTAGTTTTTATTGTTTTAGTAACATTTGGTATATATTGGCAAACAAACAACAATATTTTCTCAAAATCATAAGACCAGGCAACATAAAGCATTTTTCCTCACAATTGCAGTGACCCCATACATTTCCTACAACAGTTGAAAAGGAACCAGACATAATTTTTATATTACTGTGTGCACCTTTCCTGAACTGTATGCATCTTTTAATTTATAATTTGTCATAATTTAGATTTAACAGAATGAAAACATATTATCATACCTTCTGTTCCTTATACAGCTGTCATTTTGATTGTTTGCTTGAATTCTTGTTGTTCAGAACCTTACTTTTCAGTAACAGATTAGTCATAATATTTCTTTCAGTTCAGCATCAACTGATTTTATAGATTAGGCTGTATGTACAAGATTCTCATTTGTTGCTGTATCAAAAAGTGAAACCTATGAACACAGATTTTGTCTCAAAGGGCTGTGTCTGCCTTGAGCAGCCAAAATGTCTGCAATTCAATAGATATCAGGGCTGCCAAATATGTTTCTTTACTTCTCAGTCTTCTTCAGTCCTGCCCATTTTTCTGTTTTGTTTCCAGCTTTTTAAAAGCTCATAAACTTGGCTTTTTTTCTCTTTACAGTGACAGAATTATACTGATTAATTGTATTGAATCAAAATTAATTGTAACTCAGTTATACTTATAAATCATTTGTTTGCTCACTAACAGTCTTAATAGTAAACAATAAACATATTGTTGGTATTGAACTTGTCCTAAATACAGTAAATTGTCCTATTGTGTTTAGAATGTGAATGAATGCTTGTAAAAGAGTAAATTTTGCTATTCATTTCCTATCCTACCCCTCATTTGTTCAGTTTTTCTTTAGAAAATTAATTCAGCTTAGCCAGACTGCATCATACAAAGTTGTTCTATAAAGTATCTGTGATATATATTCAAGGAAGCTTAAAGTACTTATATCAGTAAGTTGCTAACAACAGCCTCACCATATATATATATATATATTTTTAATGTATGAATGCAATTTTTTTTCTCTTCTAAAGCCTCAGAAGGAGGAACAGCCATTAGAGCCTAAAGCAAGTCCGAAAAAAACACCAGAGCCCACTATTGATCTTTTAGGACTTGGTAAGTAGTAAATAATTATCTGTTATTGTCATAAAAATGACCACAACAAGACCTTGCAACCCCTACAAGGAATATAAATTGCTTTATCGTTTATGATGTGCCAACCAGTATTCTTAGCTGAACTTGAAAATGGCATAATTAATTCTGTTAAATTCCAACTATAAAGGAAAACTGTAATGGAGGGGTTTGAGGGGGGCACCAGTCTTTAACAAAGTACAAGTAATGAGGTCCTTGGGGAAAAGGAAGACTAGCAAAGTGCTCTTCAAAGAGTTCTTGGACAGTGGCATTTCAACATTTAAAGTACAGATGTATATTTTTTTTACAAGACAAAATAGTGAAGCTACCATGTTATATTTCTATAGGGTACACATCTTTCATGATCTTAGTTTCAAAGAATAGTTACCAGTTCCTGTTGACTACTGCCATCTCTAATATTTGACTTGCAATCTCAGTATCTCTGTCTACACATTGACAGAGATGAGAAATAAGAACATTAAGAAAATATCCTTATTCTTTTTTTTCTTATTCTTTTTTTTCTTATTCTTATTTTTCTCTCCATTCTTCAGTACACCACATTCCTAAAACTATCTGATCTTCATAATTCACAGTACTATAAATATGGGGGTTTGGGGGAGGTTTGAGTGAAATTAGAAAGAGAGAGCTCTTCCAACTATACATTTTTTTTAAATTATGTATTGTTTGCTTTGTATTGAGAAAATAATATTTTTTCTGTATAATACTGTTTATTTGGATACCACATCCACATTTTCTCCAAAAATTAACTATGCCAAATTTGGGTGCATCTTAAAGAAACTAATTTCTGTGCCAGAATAGAGGCAGAAGAATCCTTGAAAGGCAGCAGGTGGCTATACACTAGTTTAGCCAAGGATAAACCCTCTGATCAAATGGAGCACAGCAAAGTCCTGTTATCATTGTCATGCCCCTCCCACCCTGCCTCAGCCTGCTGCAGGACCAACACAGCTATAGGTTTAACCCTCTTGCAACCACTGCCAAACTGGCAGAACTGTTGGCTGAGCAGTAGAGAGAAGAGTGGCAGTAACAATGGGACACTGCCCCTGCTCCATATGATGATGCCCTCTGCAAGCCAGTGCAATGGCAGAGAAGATACTGGAAAAATCGTTGTTGTTTCCCCCTCTACCCCCTTCATTCCTAAAACAGGGTGCATGTCTATTTTAGGGCATGTGGTATGCAGATAAATATGGTAGTTGCAGCTGGGTATTTTCCTTGCTTGTAAACTAACTGGTAAGTATCATTCATATACTTTTTTGATGTAATTTTATGCAGTTATGTAAGAATTCTAGTACAAGTTTTTAAAAATTGAACAGTTCTGGGAAGAGCTTGATAGTCTGATTACTAAGTATAATTCTTATTTCTTTGGAGTATGCATAGCTTTATCCTTTTATTCTTTAACTTTGGAAAAACAGAAGCCAATTCTCAATTCCTTATTCAGAAGTGTACTGAATAATATCATAGTATAGTTTTGTCTGTCTGTGCATAATATTTTCCATTCAGTCGTGTTATACTATGTGATTGTGCATCTATGCTAACGTTAAATATATCTTATAAAATGTATGGTTAACTATTACAATTTTGAGCATGTCTTCATGCTATCTGAAGTCATCTACTATAAGAGACCTCAAACCTTGTTCTCAAACATATAAAGAACAAGGCTATTCAAAGTTGATGGAAAACTTATCCTCCTTTATAACAGCCTTAGAAATTAATCTTTTTCTTCTTGTTTATTCCCCCGAGTTGAGGCTTTGTGGCCCATAACATAAACAATTACCAATTCTAAAGCCCCTCTAACAAAAGTTGTTGTTGTTGTTGTTGGGGTTTTTTTTACTTTAGTGAATGTTAGCTAGTCCAGCAAGCTACTTAGGAGATAGTCCTATAATTATCAAATTTTAAGATGATCATACTTCTCACATTTTTAACAGGCCTGAATTAAAAATAAAAGTGGTGTTATTATCTGGCACCAAAATTAGGACTCTAAAATAGTTCAATATAAAGACTCAGTATTTTAAAAAAATACCTGGATTAATAAGATTATGCCAATAATTAAAGATAAAGTGGCAAGTATCACAGAATCATGGTGTTGAAAGGGACTTTAAGGATCATCTGACTTAGCCCCCTACGCAGATTCATTGTACCCTTCCCTTGAAAATCTCTGATAAGGAGATTTTTCAACTTGTACAGTTTGGTCCATGTCCCTAAGCTCTTACTAAGATTTTCCTTAAATATGTTCTGATTTGCTCTTGTCCTGCCCTGTGTGGCAGGATAGTTTTTTCTGTATTTTGTTAATGGCAATCTGCCATTATTTGATAACTCCCTCTTAAATTTCCTTTTCTTAAAGCTAAACTTACACAGGTCCTTTATTACATGGTAATTTTGGGCAACTCTTAGAGCTCTTAATCCCTGGATTGTCTGCACATTAACAACCTAAAGTGGTTTTAAGCATTCGTTATGTGGCTCAAAGTTATGCCACTACAGGTCAGGATTATCTCTGATCTGCACTACTCAGCTCCTATTCTATTGATGTGTGGCCAGTCCCCACAGATGTGCTGCATGAGTTGAAGTCCTCTAGTATCCAGGATCTTTCATGCTGCCTCCTGTAGAGCAGGAATAGAAGTCTGCCCTGGCTCACCAGCTCTCTAGTGGAAACTCACAGCTACAGATCCTGATCCTGCCCCTGCTTACCAGGTCTCTTGTGGCGAGTTATAGCTCTGCAGGTGGGGGACAGTCACAGAAGATTTCTAGACTAAGGGTGTGGCTGCTTCACACTCCAAGATAGCATTAACACTGATCAACATTTGTGCAGCTTGCAGTGTAAAGTGTAATAAGGCCCATAGTTGCTTCAACCTGTCAGCCTAAGGGTCTTGTTGCATGGTAATGGTGGCTTCTGGAGCTCTTAACCCCTGGGTTGGCTGGACATAAATGCCTTTAAGTGGTTTAAAGTACTCATTATTCAATTCAAAGTTATGCCACTTCAGGTCAGGATTATTTCTAATCTGCATAACCTTGCTCCTGTTCCATTAAATTGTGGCCACTCTGCAACATTTCCTGTTGGTGAGCTTAGATCCAGGCATGTTATAAATCCCATTTTACACCTCTGTTTCCCTAAATCAGTGCTTCCCAAACTCTTCCTTAGCATGACCCCATTTCCTTAGCGCATCCTTTCACCCCCAGGTGCCCATCACTCCCAAGCCACAGCCCCCTGGCCCTGCCGCCTCTTCCTCCCAATGTGCAGCCCCCCCACTCCCACCAAGTCCCTGAGCCAGGGTCTGTAGCCCCCTGGCCCTTACCAGCAGCACCCAAGCCCTGGCTCCTGCTGGAGTGGATTGGCTCCCCCACCATCCCCTCCCCTGTGAGCAGCACAGCTGGAGCAGACCCTGTGGTGGGGAGGAAGAAAGCTGCCTGCTCCGGGCTTGGGGCTCCCTGCCTTGCTGCCCTCATGCCCTGGGGGCTCCACAGCCCAGTGGGTGGGACCTGGCATGGGAGGGAGCACCATACTGCCATGGCTGCCAAGCCAAGGTGCCCTCTGCCCACCTGGCAGCAGTGGGGGCACAACTCTGCCCTGCTGCTGCTTAGAAGCCATGACAGTGTAGTACTCCCTCCTGCGCTGGATCCTGTCTACTGGGCTGTGTAGGTGGCTCCCGCCTGGAGCTGGTCCAGCCCTGTTGCAGCCCTACACCTCAATGTAGGCACATCAATCTTGCAACCCAACTGCTCATATTGTGATCTCATTTGGGGTTGCAATCTGCAGTTTGGGACCTGCTGCCCTATACATTGTATAGGGAACTTGGATACCAATCCCACGCCTGTGGTACCCAGGGGGCCAGATGCCTTAAGATTAGAAATGGTAATGCTTATTGTCACTGTGCCTAAATCCCATTATGGATCAAGTCTAAAGTGACTTGCCTGAGGCAACAGCAGAAGTCTGTAATGGAGGAAGGAGTAGCACCTAAGTTCTAACCTAGCTCCAGACTGAATCTGCCTTCCCCCTTGATATTGTTTGTAAGCAATTGCTGTTCGATACAGAAGTGTTGAGAGAGCAAATAATGAAAAGCACTGACCATTTAAGTAGAGGGCAAACAAGGAAATAATTTGAAAATTTAAATAAGTTTACATAGTTTTGGGTAGCACAGGTTAAATGCGCTCTTCAAATTTAGAGTAATCCATTTCAAAACAGATGGAGTAGAGACTTTGACTTGCTGCAAAATGTCTAATAATGGAAGCCATTAAAAGGTGTTTTGTACTGAAGGCAAGTGCTCCAGGTATACCTACAGACATTTCATTTAAAAGACCTTTGTGTGTTCCTCTGTGACGGAGAAATAGGAGTAGCATCATGCTTTAAATAATGAACTCTAAACTCAGTGATTATTATAGAATATTTATATTATTTTAAAATCATCTCCCTGTTAAGTTGCATTATGAATGAACAAAAGACGGCATCTATATAGAAAATCTCTATTAACATAAACTCATAGTAAGTGCAGTTAGACAGTGATGGATTCATATTACAGTACCTAGCTCAAGATAATGTGAACCATGCACTGATGATCATTCTTATAACTTCTTGGTGATATTCAGTAACTACGCTTTCTCAGTATAGTAATGTCCAGTGAAAATATTAGGGCTGGGAGAGGGTCTATAGTGTAACTATAAATATTATCATAAAATTTGTTTATAAGGCAATAAGGAGTACAGGTTTCCCTTGCCAACCATGGTTTTGAGTATCCACGCTTAATTTAATATTCTATATACCATTTTGGCTATCACAGTATACAGTTTGGAGTAACCACGGTTTTCTGTGGCCGTGCATCAGCCTGCCACCTGCCATTTTTCCCGTAAGCCTTTTGTCGTGTCAACAACGGAAACTTTCAGGAAACTAACCCCAGTGGTTAGGGAGGGAAACGTGTACTTAAAAATCTTTCTATTAAGTAAGGAAGGTATGCTTCAAATAGGAATATATCCAGTGT